GCCAGCCTCAGGCTTCTTGCCTGTGTCTAGTCTTCAGCCGCCCAGTCAGACAGAATAAGAAGTGAGAGCAGGACTGGCCACTTGATTTGGGTGCAGACAGTGGGCCAGTGGGTATTACCGGACAGATGAAAACCAGTGACCTGGCTGCCCCTCCCCACCAAGTGGAAAAGCTTAGCGACTGCGAAGGGTGGCAGCCGGAATAATGTGCGCTAATCCCGGGGTTTCCTGGTCCTGGTACTTCAGTTAACGGCCTGAGCGCCCCGCACACTGTCTTCCTGCGGACGCGGCCCGTCTGCACTCTTGCCTTACTTACTCCGTGATCGCCACGGCTTTCGCTCTGCCCTGATCGCGCTGTTACAGAAAATGAACGCCGGGCCGCATGAATGAAGTGAAACCAAAAAATAAGTAGAAGAGGAAATCAGATGGACGTGAATGAGAACTTCTTGTTCTTTAGTGTCACGGGTTTTTGTTAATGTTTTATAAGTAATTTCCCTTGATTTTTCTTTTATAAAATCTCATAGAACAGTGTTTATGATATAGCCATTTAATATATGTACAAATTGTAAAGATATGTATAAATGTTTTACACAAATGTAAGAGCATGTAGAAGCGAACATATAAATAAATTGTTTAAAAAACCTGTACAGTAAATTCTCAAACCATTTTTCAAAGCACTTTTGGTGTTCGTGTGTGATTTTTTTAAATCATCGCTTCTTGTGGCCGTCTGCCGAAAACAACACCCATGGCGCCACGGGCAGGCCGGGGAGGAAGAAGTGGTGGCCAGGGCAGGGGCATTTGGGCCGCTTCTCCATGGAACCTCGGGGAGTCTTCAGGGCCCGCTCAGCAATCAGATACCCCACTTCCACCCATCAACCCCGCCAATTCAGAAGTAGGGCCTGGCCCCAGGTCACACCGGCTGCTCCAGGCACCTCACCTGGCAGGCGATGAGCAGCTGTGACCCGGGCAAATCCGACACCCTCTTTTTACTGTGTACCCTTGTGGATCTCAAACTAACCAGCAAGCAGAGACGGACCCCTCGGCAGCCAGCAAGTGAGGTGAGGCTGGACGCGGAGACCTGGACAAGGTCGCCTGGCGGGAGCAGAGCCCCAGGCGGGCCCAGCTCCCCTCCTGGAGGAGGACAGCTGGGTGTGCATGGGCAGTGGCTCCCTCTGGCTGCAGAGGACAGGCCTGCGCGCTGCTAAGGATGCCTGTCTCCAGGCCCTGCCCCAGGCCTGCGTTGGGATGTCTTCTTTGGCTGGTGGCCGCCCAGCCTCCGTCCTATTCGTTTCTGGGGGTTGAGTCACTGTGCTCTCTTGGTTTCCTCTCGAGTGCGCAGAACCATGTTCAGCCAAAGTGTTTCTAGGGGACTCGCCCGCAGATCTCCTGAACTGCCTGCCTGCCTGTCTCTGTCACTTACATCTGATCTCTCTTTCCTTCTCCTCTCCTGTACGCTGCCCTGCAAGTCCTACCCACTGTGGTCACCCTGAACGCTGATCTCTGCCTCCTGGACACGGCGAGACCATGAACCTCTATTTGGTTTCCCCGCCCTGTACTGCGCCTGGAACCTCATCCAGCAGTAATTCGGGGCCATCGTGGGGCTGGCCTGTTTCCATTCCCCCAGTGATCAGAGTCCTGCTCTCCTGCTGTCGAGTGTCTGAAACTGTATTTCATGTGTTGTGTCTTATTCTTCAAGGGGAGCGGCTGGCCTGTGCTCCCCTCGTGGCCGGAAGTAGAAAGCCTGTCGTCTATTTTTTAAATCTAATGGGGTGGTTTTCCCATTCAGAGAGAGCATCTTAGCACACATTCCTCAAACTTCATTTTAATTTTCAAGCGTGTTCCCGTAGTCACTGAGCAGAAATTACAACTTTTTTTTAAAAAATATATTTTATTGATTTTTTTCAGAGAGGAAGGGAGAGAGAGTTAGAAACATCGATGAGAGAGAAACATTGATCAGCTGCCTCCTGCACACTCCCCACTGGGGATGTGCCCGCAACCCAGGTACATGCCCTTGACCGGAGTCGAACCTGGGACCCTTCAGTCCGCAGGCCGACGCTCTATCCACTGAGCCAAACCGGTTTCAGCTCATTACAACTTTTATCATCATTTGCATCTCACTCCCCCTGGGCCCACCGATGGACCATACTTCCCCATCCCAGTAAAACCAGGCATCATTATGCGACCTGCTTTAGTCAAAGAAAAGTAGTTGGGAGCAAAGTGTGCACTTCTACGGTGACCGGAGTAAGAGGTGACCTAAAGAGGCCCAGCTACCCAGCCCCTGTGGCTCAGTGGTTGAGCATTTTACCTAGGAACCAGGAGGTCAGAGTTCAATTCCGGGCACATGCCTGGGTTTTGGGCGCGATCCCCAATAAGGGGGTGTGCGAGAGGCAGCCAGTCAATGATTCCCTCTCATCATTGATGTTTCTCTCTCTCCCTCTCACTTCCTCTCTGAAATCAATTAAAAAATAAGTTAAACTGTATGTAGTGAACTCTTGGGTAGTGGTAATTCTCGTGCATTACTGCACCTGTGTAAATTGGTTAACATAAACTTAAACCAGAAAAAAAAGAGGCTCAGCTGAGAACATTGAGCCAACACCCAGGAGAGAGGGGCCTGGAGAGCTGCTGGCGCCACAGCCATCTTCCTCCTGCCACGTGGAGCCCAGCCTGGAGCCGCAGCAGCCTGTCCCGGCCGTGGGCCCTCCCGTGGCTGAGCCGGAGTGTGCTTCCACCCGGGCCCCAAACCGGTGGGTCTGAGCATACGCCGCCTGCTGCCTCCGTGAAGCAGGAGTCCTTGGCCTTTGGGAAACTATCAGCCCGCAGGAGGAAGCAACACAAAACAAATATTTACCAAGGCGAACCGTTTTTGTGAGCTTGAGTTCTTCTGTTGATGTGTTTAATCCCTTCCAGATGGGCCAGCCACTGCAGTTCAGGGGGGCCGTTCTCCCCTCGCCAGTGAGCATAAACGGGGGTGCTCCACGACGGTTCACCCCCTGAGGTAAACGTTTTCCTCGGGGAGCATCTGTTCTTCACCCCCTTCTTTTGCAGCTGTTGGCTGTGCGTGTCCTCGTGCCCTGGGAAATGTGTTTGTAGTTAAGATGGAGTTCCCAGCCCCTCCTCAGAGGGCCTCCTGTCATCAGCTGCTTCTCACTAGCCTCTAAAACAGGAATTCTCGGCCAGGGGTCCATGCAGTCCTGGGGTGTGTGTGTCAGTGAGTCACATGTGACTTCAGGCAAATTATTCCCGTGTGTATTTTACAGTTTCTCTGGGGAAAGGGTGTGTATCTTCCATCCGATGCTTAAAGGTGTGGGTGACTCAGTGGCAGGTCACTCTAAGGATGTCAGGTTCCTCACCCACCCAGACTGTCATCTCTCAGTTCATCAGCTGCATCCTGTTCTTTTTCTCGTAATTGCTTCTCTTTCACTGGAGCACCTCACCCCAGGGGTGTCCTGAAGAGGGAGGGGTGGGTCATTTCACAGGTGGGTGGGAAGTCGGTTTCCAGTCCTCAGAGGTTCCAGCTGATGGCCCAGGTCAGCTGTCTGAACAAGACCCAGTGCTTTAGTCTGTGTGGTCATCGCCACAAGCACCTGGGGTTCTTTATGCTCAGAGTAGCTGCAGAAAGGACAGACGAAAGAGCTATGCTCACCCTCTGGCCAAAGGAAGGGAAGGGGATGCCCGGGGGGGGGGGGGGGGAGAGAGGGGCCTTGAGGAGAAAGGAATGTCCTTCTTCTAAAAGGTGTGTTTCCCTTCAGAGCTGACCGCCCTGTGGCTCCGAGGGAGTCTGGTGTGTTTGAGGGAGGTTCTGGAAAGAGTGGGCGAGTGACAGAATGGAGAGAGAGGGTAGAGAAAGTCGTGTGTATCCTCACCACTTCCTGAAGAGCCTTGGCACTTGGCTAATGATGGGCCAACCTTCCGGAGGTAGAGAGAGAAATCTGGCGGCGTAGTCGACATGATTGTCTAAATAAACATGTGCGGACGCCGGGGTCTGCTGGGCGTGCTCTGCAGGAAGGAATTCAGCTTGGAAACCACTCTGTCACGAGACACTGCTGGCTCGAGGCGGCTTGTCACGGGTTTTTAATGTATAAAACCCTTTCGCTTACAATGCCCTTAAAAACACAAGTGTGGGGTGTTTTTATAGTCCCAGAGCCGTCCTCACCAGACAGACAGAGGCTCCTGAGGTGCTGGGGGAAGCTGGAGAGGGAGGGCTCATGAGCGATGGCCCGGCAGCAGCCCCCTTTGCTTTGTGTTGTGCTCGCTAAACCCTGGCAGATGATTTTTTAGTTATTTTCATGACGTCTCACGTGGATTTAGTTTAGTTTTGAGGTTAAAACAGTCACACAGCTTGAGATGTGCAAGAATGCGGTGATATTTTGCAGCTGCTGTGGGCATTTCCTCTCTCCGCCTCTTTCTTCAGGCTCCCTGGAGATCAGCTCCTCCGATGCCAGGCCTTGTTGACTCATGTTGTGGACCAGGCACATGTGAGGGTCGCTGGGCCGCCAGGCTCTGAGCTTGCTGAGCACCGTGCAGCCGGAGCTGCCGTCTTTCTCCGGGCCTCGGCAGCAGCAGCTGAGCCCAGGCTGAGGGAAGGACAGGCAG